TTATTAGCAATTAAAATTTGTGTTAAGTAAATTATTAATTTTTTATTTTTTGTTTTAGTTTTTCAATAATAGCAACATTCATAAATCAAAATTAATACTAAAAATCACAATTATACAATTAACGATTTAGTATGAGCCTTTAGTTTTTATATTTTGTTTGTCAGTTCCAAGAAAATTATGACGTTGCCAATATATGCCGAATCATTTTTGCAATTTTTTTTAAAGGTTGAAGTGTTTTTGAGTTGATTTTTGTATATTTAAAATTTAATATTTTTTTGAATGAATTTTTACATATTTTAAGATTAATCTTTTCTTGAGTAATTTTAATGATGCACTACATATAAAGATAGTGTTTTTAAAGAAATTAATTTTCTTAAATAATATATGATCTAAAGACTTGAAAATTAAATTTACTTAAACATAACATTTAGGCTTAAGTCATTTAGGGTTGAATCATTTTTATTCTGAGTGGATACGATTTGATTTCAATTGCAATCAAAATTAAATTACCAATTAACCAAAATTTTTTGGTTATTAACTTTTACAAACCATTAACCAAATTGAAAAGTTTAGTTTTATTGATTTTAGTTAATTTTTTTAAAGATAATCATTCAATTCAATTTTGGTTTTAACCAAAATCTTATTCATATACTATTTATATTTTTAAATATCATAATTAATTTTTTAAAAAGTTACAAACTAATAAAATAACAATTAAAGTGTGTGCCTTTCACCTGCATGGGATTATAAACTTATAATTCTACATCACATTAAATGGATAGATATAAACAATATTATAAATATATCATTAAATAAAAAATTAATTATATAATAACATATTATATTATAAATTTATAATATTATATAATTTTATAACTGTGTATTTTCATTAACAAAATCAGAGTGTGCTAATAACTAAAGTTCACTTTTGTAGACAAACAAAAATAGTTGCAAAAAAAAGGAACATGCAAAGTTTCGAACCTGGGACTTTTCCCCCGTATATGCACACCTATACGGGCCATAGCAACAAAGCTTTTGTTCCATGGCTTTATTTGATGTGGTTTTGTTTTTTGTTTTTACCTTTAGT